TGGACATTTCCATGGATGGCGACTCCAAAGCTCCCTGGGCAGCCCCTGCCAAGGCCCGACCCCCTTCCCATGGAAAAATGATCCCAAGAATCCAACGCCAACCTTCCCTGGCACAGCCTGAGGCCGCTCCCTCTTGGCAAGACCTTCAGGCAGGACTTCTGCTTCCCAGATTTTATTCCAGGGATTTTCTGTAAGGAGCGATGGAGTCCCAAAGGAAACATTTCTGGGAGATGTGTCCCGTGCCTCGGTGACACCTGGCCTTGGTGGGACATCCCACTTTTGGTGGCCCCTGGGGACACGGATCAATGGTGGCCTTGCATCAATTGGATTTCATTTTTTGGAAGGCTTTTCCAACCCCTTTGTCACCAAAATTCCATAATTTTGGTCCGGCTATCCCATTGCAATGTGGCCCCAAAATTCCATTGTTTTGTCCAGCTTTCCCATTGGAATGGTCCTGCTGGGACATTTCTCCTTCCTGGTGGCCCTTGGGGACACAGATCAGTGGTGGCCTTGCATCGATTGGATTTTTATTTTCTGGGAGGGCTTTTCCAACCCTTTTGTCACCAAAATTCCATAATTTTGGCCCAGCTTTCCCATTGGGATGGCCTTGGTGGGACATCCCACTTCTGGTGGCCCCTGGGGACATGGATCAGTGGTGGCTTTGCATCAATTGGATTTCGTTTTCTGGGAGGGCTTTTCCAACCCCTTTGGCTCTGAAATTCCATAGTTTTCTGCATTATCCCATTGGGATGTCCTAGGTGGGACATCCATCCTCGCTGGTGGCACCTGGAGACACGGATCAGTGGTGGCCTTGCAGTGGTTGGGATTGATGGCCTTGGGGGGCTTTTCCCAAACCCTCTGGCTCCAAAATTCCATAGTTTTGACCCAGTTTTCCCATTGGGATGTCCTAGGTGGGACATCCGTCCTCGCTGGTGGCACCTGGAGACACGGATCAGTGGTGGCCTTGCAGTGGTTGGGTTTCATTGCCTGGCAGGGCTTTTCCAACCCCAATGGCTCCGAAATTCCATAGTTTTTTCCGGTTTTCCCCTTGGGAATGACCGGATGTGGGCGCTGAGGGCAGGGGGTGCCGACAGGAGCCGGGAAGCGCCGGTGCCGGGAGAAATTCCCACACCCGAGGCTGGAACTCATCGGAGAACGAACGCCTGGCGTTGCCACGGCAACGGGAAGAGTTCCAGGAGCCTGAAATCCTCGGACTTTGAACCTCAAATATTCCTCGGGAAAATATTCCGAGCACGGCCGTGCTCAGCCTGGCCTGCTCCATCCCAATCCCGGGATTTTCCTTCTCCTGGTGGCCTCGGAA